AAACAAGTGTAGCGATGCAATCGTGGGTTTGTATCGATGGAGTCGCGCACTTGCATCGCGTTCGCATCGCTGCTTAAAATCGCGCGCGTGTGTAAAGGTAGACGATTAGTGGCTGCATTGCTTTTTTTTTTCAACTTTCGTATAGTAGTTGCCACACTCTAGACCCACCAATCACAGGAAATTTAATTATAACTATTTAACAATTGAATATAACTGTAAATCCTTGATTATTCACCTGTTAATACATATTTAAGATTGAGTGGTTGTTGGCTGATTACCAATAACTTATGGGCGAAGCGAGAGCGGATGTACACAGCATTATTTTTAGGTTATAATTATTTTCAACTAGGCCCGCAACAACGCATTCAAAGTTTTTTTTCGCAATGTTTGGTAAAATAAATATTTTTATATGTGCATGTTATAACACCACATCCCCTTTCTGTGGTTCCTTAGTTCCGTGTGAATATTATAGTCAGGCAGGCCTCAGAGATTACTATGATGTCAATTAGCCGCGGGCTGCTTAGTACGATAAGCTCCAGTTTCAGCGAATTTCTTCAGCATTGATCTGATGTTTACGTGGAACACAAAGTAATATGACACTGTTTTGGACTTAACTTGCCTATCAAAATTGTCCCAGCTATTGTATTTGTCTTCTTGAATATGAAAGTGTCAGTTAACTGGATAAATAAAGAACAACATATTTGATAGACTAATAAATTGTTCTTTATTCAATAAATCGTAAACTCTGCTAATAATCGTGTAATATCCTATACGGATGCCACTAGGTGCATCTCGTCTTTTTACTATATACTTACCATTATTGTGCCTTTCAAGCACCACACTGACTGACACAGTTCTTTAAGTTTTAATGCTTGTTTGGTTTTCTAAATCAAGTAAGAAGTAACAGGTAATAAGAGGTCACGGAAGCAGATCTTCGTTTTCTCCCCCGTACATGCATGTTACTGCATCCTTCCGTAAGGGTAGCTGTAATAATGGATTGAGTATATTTTAAGCCCGCTCCAAAGTTGATTGTCTTACTTTTAAGTTGTTGTGGCGAGGTTAATAAAGAAAAATAACAAAGTCACCTTTAATCGGTTTTGCACAGAGCGAGCAGCATTTATTACAATAACATGTGGAAAGCGCTGGCCAGATCACACGCTGACAAAAATTATGAACAATCTACAAGGCGCAGTGTTATGGCTGCTAACAGATTGACTGCATGTTTGTAGTTAATGCGTAAAATCTTAATCATATTGCTTAATCATATCTTAATCACATGCAGCTGAGACCTCGACTGCATGAAGCTGATAACGACTTCACGCATTAACTTATGCATTTTGTAGCAGTAGAACGCCTTGTGAAAGAATTGGCCCAGGGAAGTACTGCCACCTTACCTATTTTTGTCGCCAAGCAGTTAAGTCAGCATTACTGTGTTAAGGTTTTGAAGGGTAGTAAGGGTGAAATTACAGACACATGGGACTTGTCACCTCATGTCTCAGGATGACGGGCGCAATGGCAGCGCCTCTCAGATCTTTGCGATTTAAAGCTATAAATGGCACTGCAACTGTTATGGCGAGGCGTGTAGCTTACTATCAGGCACACAATTTGTTCGTCCCGTCACTAATGTATTACAATATTATTAAAAAAAACCTGCTCAACGTAAAATCCGGCCCGAACCGCAGGGTAACATAAATATTTTAAACGTACACATAAGACCATCGAGTAAAATTTAATTTAATGGACGGGCAAACATCTCCCATAATCGTAGGAGCAAAATTTTGCTGAGTACACAAAACATTTTAATTTAATTCAAACAAATTAAATTCTTTAATAAGTTTCTTTCATCGCAGTAGCGATGAACGGCAGTTTTCTTTTTTAAATTACAAAAATAGCTATTGACAATTTTGGCTATAATAAGAAACTCACGGATAAGTTTGTTTAATCGCATATGGTTAAAAACGTATTCGGCAACAACGGATATTGTATTTCTGACATAGACGGATATCTATCAAATTTTATCTCGTAGCTCTATAAATAAATTTACTTAATATACATTCCGGGCAAGGGCAGACATTAATTGGATTAAACAAGGGTTTAACTGTTAGTCTACATAGGTCCCACTGCTGGGCACAGGCTGCCTCTCACAATGACAGCGGTTTGGACTGTAAATCCCAAGCGGGCCCAATGCGTATTGGGAACTTCACACACATCATTAAATTGTTTTACAGATGTGTGCAGATCATCACGATGTTTTCGTGCACCGACAATTCAAATTAAATTTCTCTTGGTAAATTTCATGAGTAAATGTCATGGTAAGCTCATGGTAAAATTCAATATAAATTTCACATATAACTTCCGAAAACTCAGAGCTGCAAGCCCAGATTCGAATTCACGACCCTCTACTTGAAGGGCGGTAGGTTACCATTACCATTAGGCTACCGCGGTTTTTAACCAGCTTTTAAACATGGCTCTCATTAATCCAAATAACGGGCTCAACGCATCGCAAATAATTACGTCTAAGAAAATGCCACATGTGCCTCATTTAAGTTTTCCTACAAGCTAAATCTGTAATATAAAACAGACGACACTTATGGTATGATATGGGTCAATGATGATATGTCATAAAATACATTTGCGATGCGTATATATTAACTCTGACAAACATTGCGTTTTGCCGTGTATTTGTTTAGCGTAACTATAGTATTCCTATCAAGCACTCGGAGCTGTCAACCGAATCTTCGTCTGAGAATACGCCATTTCGGCTACGTATGGTAGGTTAAAAGCCATGATTATTTTGACTATTGTGCATGACGTATACATGCACAATGCATTTGTGCGGTGCGGTCAGCACGTCCAACTCAGTAACCTAAATCGGCCATGATAGACACACGTACACGAACTGACCGACGAAAACTGAAGTGATTCGTAATAGAAATGAATTATTAAATAATTGTTAAAATAGTTACTTTCTCTTGGAATAAATGCAGTCGAAAGGAAAAACGTTTAGTCTTAACAATTTATGACAAGATATATGTGAAATCTGACCATGCCTGTGATTTGTAATCCCGATTCAAAATAGGGCCTGTATTTTTTATGGTTGTGACTGTTCAAAATATCCACGAAAGTAATTTCGAGGGGCGCTCAATTAATATAAACAAATACTTTATACTTGCGTATACATTTTTCAGAGCTCTATCTATTCGTTACAATATTTTCGCCACAAATATATGTATTTTTATCATTATTATAGAACCTACGGAAGAAAAATAATGGAAGGGTCTTAAGCCTCGGTTATTATCAGAACCGCTGTGGCGCCACTACGAAACACACTCACTACGACACAAACACTACGAAATCTTGACAATGATTGGTCGCAGTTTTTAATTTAAAAAAAGAAGTAACAACTTTTGGACTGTTAATATATATTAAACTTTACCCAGTTGACATATCGTTGAAAGTTCAATACCTATTATTGAAAGTTACGACGTTTTGATCTTATAATTGAAATTTCATTCAATGTGTTGCCACCTAGCGATAATAGCTAAAAGAGGAATTATTGACGCGTATTATCGTTCTCCAAAAAAGATTCGACCATATTGCAGAGGTATGAAGTCTACTTTCGTTTCCCATACAATAATTGACACGACCATAGAGTACAAAGTGAAAGTGGAACTCCGCGTACTGTTGGCACACGTGACACGCCCACTAAGCACTGAATTTTAAATAAAAAATAATTCCACTTTGTTTTCAAACGAAGTAAATCGCTTTTAAATATGGTTGCGTTGAAATGATGTTTGAATTTGCCTCGCGAAATTTTGACACTTTTATGACGTTGGGCTGGCTCAATTACGTCCTTAGTCCATCTTTTTACCGCTCCCAACTGGTGACACCAAGTGGACGAAAGAAAGATTCTTTTCCGCTTTTTGAAAAACTGACGACAGATAACCGCTTCAGCTAATTATTATATTAGAAATTGTAGTGAACCGAAAACTAAAGTGAACAAAGTTGAACGTACGTTTTGGTGAACTTGTGAAACATCAAGAATCACTCCTTGGGCGAGGCAAGGATCCGAGATCGCTCAACTCACCGGCAGAAAGCCACGTGGTTATCTTTCACGAGGTATTGTGCTTTCATCTTACCTACTCGTGTTTGTGTCAATCAAGTAAACTTAATTAAATCTTATACAGTCCATAAACCGAAGGCGAAAACATCCCTCGCACTTCCCCCAGAGTTGGCAGGTCTGTACCACCCGAAATTCACATCGCGTCTACATAATAGATAACATAATATACTAGACCCAAAGAAACCTTTGTAAATGGTTGAAAATAGTTTTTTTTTTATAGTAGCTACCGTATTCACAAAAACTATTTTAGCACAGGGAATATAGTGATAACGTGCTAATAGTTCTGAGTTCGTGTGTTTATGACAATAAGTGACGGGACGAACTAGTGTGTACGCCTGGTTCATGTCATGAAGTTATGCCATTGCTTCGTGTGCTGTCTTCGCACAGAGAAGATTCACGCAAAATACAGAGAGAGAGTCTAATAGTTTCATTCACAAAATAAAAGAAAAAAATGGATTAAACACATGCGTGTGAAAGGTTCATAACAATCTCATGCGAAATAAAAATAACGTAATGCAAGCGATGTCTAAATTGAAGATACATAGTTCCGGACCTCATCCTATGTCAATAAAAATCTATAATAAACTCCCAGAATATTTAAAATCAGAATCAAACGTAAACAAATTCACAAATGCATTTGAAAAAATTATTAATTTCTAAAAGTAATTATGATGTGGACGAATATTTCCAAGATAAATTATAATTTAATGTCTGCCCCTCTCCCTTTCCATGTTGCGATGCTTGTCAAGGTGCATGTGTTTGTTAATGTATAAGTATATTTTTGTAACGACAGCACACGTAAAGCACTTTTAGATAAATAAATAAATAAATGTTGTTAAGTCTTCCAAAAAAAAACCAATAAGATTATAAACTCTGACTTTTAATGTTGGGTCTTAAGCATTCTAGAATCAAACTGTGAAATCATTATATTTATTCCATTACCTTGGAATATATTTAGTTCACAATTGTATTGTTATTTTTAACAAGTTAGTTATTATGCACGTATATGTATAAAACTATGTAGCAATTGATTTTAGGGAGGACATTGAAAACTCAATTTAATTTTGTCTTTTCAGCGACGCAATAATGGAATTATACAGGTTGATTTAATGTTTCTCTCAAAACGCGACGGAGAATTTTGCCTCTAGAATTTCTAGGCAGCTGGGACACGAATCTGACGCCACCAGTAAGACGGTGTAGTATTGATGCCTGTAAAATAATATTCTTTAAGTATTTCGAGATACTTCAAAGTCTATAACGAAATTTTTATTGCAGAAATATCTTTATTTGATAATATCGAGCACTCACAGCAATTGGAACTGTTTTTAGGATTTAAATGGTGTATTTTTCCTTTTTTTTTCAAACAAACCAACGTTTCGAGCACTTTACAGGTACAACAGTCGCGGCTGACTGAGATAGTAAACTGATCAGTTATGTTTAATATTAATGCAAACCACACTGTTTTTTATAGTTACAAAAGTTAATAAGTAACTATAACAATAATAATACACCTTATTTTAATTATCACGAAGAACATTCCAATTTACGCTGGATATGTTTTTACTAAATATTTTATTTTTTATTTAAACAATTTGAATTTTTATTAAATTATGGTGATGGGACCTGAAAATAAGCCCGAAACGTTTCAAACAAGAAAAAACAAATACGAAAAATATTGCTTGATTTCCTATTTGATAAGTATGCTCGTTTTGTAATTTTGTCATTTAAAATTTAACGCCGAAAGTGAAAAAGTAAAAACTATGTGTTCAACTGACCTCTTTGGCCATATAGTCTATCAGTTCTTGCTCCGTGACTTCAGCACCCGGCTGCTTTACAACAAACGCCGTCGGTTCTTCCATATACTCAGAAACCCGTTTCCCTACCACGCCTGCTTCAAGAACACTAGGATGTAGCACAAGTATAGTTTCCATTTCTATAGGGCTTACCTGAAACCAAAGTGGTTCACACCATTTGTTCAAGAAATTGTAGGGTTTATTTCTTTGTAATGATTCTTTATTTTAAATAATTAATTACCAGAAGTTTTAAGAAGCAAGAATCAGTCGCTGTTAAATTAAGCACTATTATGTAAATTTGTTTCCTACTATGTTAATGGCTATGAATAAAGTTTTATTATTATATCGAGCGAGCATGATACAGAAAGACATGATACGAAACGCTCGGTATGTGCAGGTATGTGCATGTATGCGTGTTTCTTTCTTTGAGTTACACTGGTAACTGTCTAGAAAGAAACACGCATACAAAAATGAGAGAACTCAATTCTAAAGGAAGTACATAGCGATGGGATGAGTTGTATTTTTTTCAACTCGAGTTACTCGAGTTGACGTGATTGCTGACTCGAGTTGACTCGACTCGGTGTCTGACAGAGCAACCGCAAGCCGCGAGTAGAACTCGAACCGAGCGACGGTATTGACCGGGTTGGGCACGATCGGCCGACCGACCGCAACTCGAGCATGCTCCGAAGGTCGCCGAACAGACTGAGTTGCAACGAGCAGCCGCTAGCCGCTGCGCTGTATGAATGAAGTATTCGGCTTTTATCGAACCGAGTTACCTCGAGTTCATAAAAAAGTAGCTCGAGTTGACTCGTTATAGGAGTAAATCGAGTTAAATAACTCGATTCATCCATCGCTAGATGCACCTATTTAGTTATCTTATATACCTAATTACTATAATAACTTTATAATAACTTTGATGTCGATCGAAATCTAACTTTTAAATTTAGAAAATAACCCAATCAATATTCATTGTCATTACCTTATATCCCAAACTAGTTATGAATTCTTTTATTCTATCAATTATATAAACATGTTCCTCCTCGTCGTAGTAACCCAGATCACCGGTTTTAAAAAAGCCTTCTTCATCTAAATACGTAGCTGGGTCTACTCCAATATAACCACTCATGAGAACCGGTCCTCTTATACACACTTCTCCGTGCTGATTTGGTCCCAGGACTTCACGAGTTTTGATGTCTACAATCTGAATTACCGTAAAAGACAGATTTTCATTAGTGGAGGTAATTGTAAGGAAAAGTTTCTAAAGTTCTCCGAAGATACATGAATTTATCGACCTGTTTTGGGCCATGATGAATGCTGCCTTAACCCATTTTTTAGGTGTAATCCGTGCTCCGTCAAGATTCTTAGATAGGCTGATACGACACTTCAAATAAAGCAAATAAAAAAGCAACAAACAAAACTACGTTTAGCATTTACCTTTAATGTAGTCCCAGGTGAAACTTTTCCGACGCTCTGTAGACTTTTGGACCCCCAATTTTCTGAGCATGGCTCACCTGCTTCTGTCATACCATAGCCTTGCCGAATATATTCAATTGAAGGAAATCTGTAATTAAGTGCGTCCGTTAACTTGTAGCTGCTTTTTTGTGATTAATAAAGAATATATTTAGCAAGGCTTGCGCGCACCTTTCTTTGAGGCACTTAATTGTTTTGGCGTGCAGTGAAGCTGAACGTGAATACAAAACTTTCAGTGATGCAACACTGTGCTTTCCTTTTATTTTACAGAGATCGTAAAGCGTTGAAGGAACTAGGAATGCGATGTTTATCTGAAAATGTAATTATTCTTTCATCAACCCCTGTATTCTCTTCAATTCCTTTGTAAACATTGCTTATTATCCAATGATTTTTTTTTTGGTCCCCCGGACTAGTCGTGCGCCTGATGGTAAGCTACACGCCTGTCCATGACAGTTGCAGTGCCACTCAGAGCTTTAAATCGGCAAGATCTGAGGGGCACTGCCACTGCGCCCATCACCCAGAGACAAAGTCCCATGTGGCTGTAATTCCACCAGCACCCTTACTCTTCAAAACCGGAACACATTAATGCTGACATTACTGCTTGGCGGCAGAAATAGGTAAGGTGGCAGTACTTCCCTAGACGAACTCTTTCATAAGGAGCTCTACTGCTACTAAGGATAGATCAAAGACAGTGAAATTTGGTATTAGGTACCTGATGTTCTTCAACAGTTTTCAAAATGTTTTCAATTGCAATGTCGTCAGCATAGACAATTTTTCTGCCTGCTTGGAGAAATTTGTATGTGACAAAAGAGTCATAGTTATGATACCATTCTCCGTAAATGAAAGCTGTTTGCAAAGCTTCGTCACTGTAGCTAAAAAATATGAAAATGTAGACTATTCACAAGGTATACCATATATAAGAAAGTAAAGTCTATAGTATAGCATTTCTTACATGCTGAAATTCAGGAGCGTAATTTCGGCGCTGTCATTGGTTTCAATAAGTGACATTGTCCTCTATCCTATGAAAAATAGCGATTTCTAATTGAAACAAATGACTAAGCCGAAATTACTGAACTGAACTTACGATACGTGACCAAAGTAAAAGAAATGAAACCGGAAAGTTACAATGAAATCTACATAGCTTACTCATGAGGTAAACTGTTGAGAATGCAATTCAAATGAGTCAACTTTACTCCCTTCGGCATTCCAGTAGTACCAGAAGAATATAAAATAAGCGCCACGTCTATTTGTCCTTGTACCGCCACCGGTTCAAATTTGACTACATCAAATTGTTGTTCTATTCCTATGAGTGGTTTGATGTTAATTGCAAATGAACATGAATTATCTAAAGTAATTGTTGTTGGTTTAAATTCTTCTATAATATCACTGTAGCGTTCCCAAAACATTTGCGAGCAGATAAAGTATTTGGGTAGTGATGTGCTCATTTTATGATGCAACTCCGCTGAAAAACCATTCGTAAGATAATTTTATCGGTATCAGTAAAATACTTATATCAATAAATAGAAGTGAACTGAAATCATTTTCATATTTCCAGTTGGTAAAATTTTAAAAAGTTGGTTTACTTACCACGACCACATCTCAAATCATATGGCGTAAAAGTAGCTCCGCTGAAAATGATTCCTAGAATAGTGGGCACAATCATAATTCGTTTTTCAGTACCGAACGCCACCACATCCTCGTGGCGCACCCCCAGCTTTGTAAGCATTATAGATAGATCCACTGCATGTCGGGTTATTTGTTTATAAGTCAGCTTCTCTCCTGTCATTCCATTCTCCTATAAAATTTCATGATTAGGAGACGCATTTTATTCAATCTTGTCACAAACGACAGGATTAACTTCATCATTAGCTTTAGGTCAACCTACAACTTTTTATACCATAATTTTTGTGTATAATTAATTATCTAGAGGTACTCACGATAGCAATTTCGTCTCCCATTCTCCTAAGAGCATCTAGCATAAATTTCCCAAAATTCATGTGTTCAGGAACTTGGACATTTTGATTGCCTTGAATATATTTTTCACTATTGTACATCTTTGCGACAAAATAAACACTGTCCTTATATTTTTTTTTTTCACTTAACTAACTCGTGTTCCTGCAAGGAATAAACTGTTATTGTGTGACTATAGTCCATCGTAATATAAATTTACTTAGCATTGGTAAACACTATGACAATAAAACAGTGAATACCATATTTTGTACCCATTACAAAAGTATGCAATTTACCCGCTTAACGTTCGCATTTTGATAGCTGTTTCCTACACTATGATCTTATCGGTATTAATTTTAACAATTACGCATAATTCTCTAATAATAGCTTACGAAATCTTTTCTCTCGGCTAGGACTGGTATTTTTTTGCTATGTTAGAAATGGTACGATGGATATTTCTTTACATACATACATATCATCACGCCTGTCTCCCACCGGGGTAGGCAGAGACTATGGACCTCCACTTGCTACGCTCCTGACATACTTCCTTCGCCTCCCCTACTCCAATCAATCTCTTCATACTTGCCCGTTTATTCTTGGTACTTTTAACCCGGCCTTTTTTAAGGACATCCTCAATCTGATTGAGATATGTTCGCCGAGGTTTACCTCTCCCCACACTTCCATCCACATTCGCTCTATAAATTTGTGCCGTCAATTACTACCAAGAAGTGGTCTGTGTCTACAGCACCACCACGGTATGCTCGTGTGTCTACAACTTTATTTTTGAGCCTATCATCCACAATTACAAAATCAATCATACTTACAGCGTTTTCCCTGGTAAATATACGTGTGGATCTTTTTGTGACAAGACATTGTGTTTGTTACGCAAAGCTTCCACTCCAAACATATCTCTAAAACACTTATGTCATTTTCATTCACCTCACTATCACCAAAACTACCTAGAACACTTTCATATCCATCTTGTTTCACTCCTACCCATCGATTAAAGTCACCTAATATAATAACTCTTTCATTCTGCTTCACCTTCCGCAAAACGTCTTTCACGCTATCCCAAACTCCTCATTTTTACTTTGGACTCCCTGGCATCCCCTCAATCCCATGTCTGGGGCATAAACCCCTATTACAAAAAGTCGAGTCCATCCAATTTAGTCGCATCCAGAGAAGTTTTGAGTTTACAAATTCATACTCGATCTTACATTCCTCCATTCTAGGGGACAGAACCACGCCTACACCTTAACAGCCCCTACTTGTTGTTGATACCCCTGACCAGTACGCCGTATATGTGCCGTGCTTGGTGGTTCCGTATCCCTCTCGTTTCGTTTCACTTAATACAACACATCTATGTATCTATCATCCATCATCTCACATACTTCATCAATTTTACTATATTTCTTTATCCTTTATAATGATGATATAATACTTACATACCTTTGTATCCTTTGTTAATTACTCAGTACTGTCCACTCAATCCTTGAAATCATGGTAACATTAGCGAACCATCACTACTTTGATAAGTTATTATCTTGAAGTCGCAGCTCAGTAATTAATAACATTGTTTACATTATTGGCTATGTTTATTAATAATTTACTAACATGATGTGCGTTTAATCATATTTCTCTGCATTTTCGTTTGCATTATACAAAATATTTTGTATATGCAGTACACCAAATTTCAGAAATTATGAAAATGTATAAGATTTGAAATATCCCTCTAAAAGTAGGGCTGAATTTCCAATTTCGGAAATTAGGCCATGTCATGTCCCTATTGCGTAATTATGTATGGGAATTTAAAATCCTTTCTTTAATCTTTAATTAAAAGTGGTTTTACATAGCTTTAGGCTAATGTTGCCCAATGCAAGGCCAAGACTATACTAATCCCAGTGGCCATGGTCTTGGATTCTCGTCAGTACCCTTGCTGTTGGTTTTGCAAGTCTTCAATTACCTACTGCTAGTTACCAAATTATTATATTCTATTATTTTTACAAAAAAATGCAATAAGCGTTGGTCCAAATTTTAGGTCAATGTAACAAAGTAGTTAGATATAGTGAAGAGCAAAACTGTGTTCGTTATTTGACGAAAATTTTTGCTTTACAGTATTTTTACGACTGTGAAGGCCGGTGTCGTGTCGTATCAGGAGGTCAAGGAGCTGGCTTATAAGAGAGATGACTGGAAGATGCTCCACCGACAAGAGTATAACTCTTAAGTTTGATGGTGATGATTGTTTGGTTATATTGCTAGGTATGTACGCTAAGCCCGCGCTTAAGATTAATAATTAATACTAGTTGGCTTATATTACTGATACAAGGTATGACCAGCACGAGGGAGCGCTAAACCGCCCTCATCGTTTCAATCGTTAGATATTCGGTGTATGTGTATTGTTCTTGCAAATCCCTAACTTCGTCTCTCATTTTTGTTTTTTGCTACATTTTTATCACAGGTGCACATTAATTTATGTAGGTAAGTAAAAAACTACTTACTTCAAAATATAATTATTGACACAATAGCTTTTCGTGTATAACCAACGATATTCATTTGATAACCAAAGACTCGACAGTCTCGCAGACTCAGTCTTGTTCCTGCTCAAATCTTGCAGGGTCGGTCTTGGTCTTGTTACAATTAGGCGGTTTTGCTCTTGGTCTTGCAACAATACAAGGTCAAATCCAACACCGATTTTGGATAACACTACTTCCGGTCTATGGCTTCGTATTATAATGACAATTCTGTACTTTTGTTGGTCCACGGTACAGACCCACATATTGCGAAAAGTGTGCATTTGCAGCTTAGGTTTTGGGAAAAATAAATAATAGATCATATTCAAAATTACCTATCATATCCTTTAACATTCTCAGCGCCATATAACAAACTATTTTTCTGAAGCAGACCATGTAGGTGGTGCGTGGGGACACGCATATTTTCATTGCACGCCATACATCATTGCAAGGAACTTTTGTAGCAGGTCAAGTGGGCTGCCGGCGGTACACCTTCTAACTTTACCAACGGGCCGAGTGTTACGCCGTGATTCACCAAAAACAGACGGATGTCACTACTAGGAACGAAATCGATACTTGATTATGATCTGGATCAGTTGTTAGCAGAAGAGCCAAACAATTGGCTGTATTTGCCAAACGCACAACTTATATTGTCGGCCTGCTGATGGAACCTTTGACTGGTCAGGACAGGAAAATCTAAAACAAATTTTAATTCCTAATTCTAGTATACCGGCGGCCCACATGAGCTGCTAGATTAAATTCGAGAAAAATGGTGGCCTGCTGCACTTGGATGTACGTGGGCAGTCGGCGGCCCACATTGCCTGCTTGATATTTAAAAATACATGGTGGCCTGCAGTAAAATAGTTTTAAATTTCCTGGCTTTTGTTTATAATTTAGTTATACTTTTATAATAACTTGTAATAACACTAGGTCTTTTCGTAACATTTCTACGCAGCTACTACTTATATGTATCAGTGGTCTCCAAAGCTGAGGTTCTTTCTGCAAAAACATTGAAATTCAATAATAGCAGTTTCGCTATACAACGTCAAATGTCATTCCAAGAATATGGATCAGAGTAGTGTGGCCGTAAATACTTAATGTCGAACAATCTCAGTGCAGTGGCCGTTACACCCGATAAATCGATAAGTTACTCAGTAATTTACTGCATTCGAGTTGTATTGGGCATAAATCTCTGTAATTGTGTAATAAAAGTGTGTTTTTGTTTCAAGAACTTATTGCTAAACACGTTTTTGAGTAAGTATATGCGTTATTACGTGATGTACTCAAATTAGGATCAATTATTAACAGAGTTGTTAAAGTTCTACCCGGTTAAGAACCTGTTTAAACGTGCTTAAATAAGCCGTGGTAGCATAGTGGGAGAACGCTTGCTTTTCAAATGAGAAGTCGACGGTTCGAGTACCTGTGGCAGAAAGTACCTATGACTTTAATTTCTTAGTTACGTACAGTTGTAAATGTTTAGTAGCAATACATTTCTTCAGTTAGAATTAGCAATTTGGGAAGGACTGTTCAAAGATGGCCGAACCTCCAAAGTGTGCAACGTGCTTGCATTCCAAGAAGACCTGCGACCACCAAACAGGAGATGTTGACTGTCCCGCTAGAAAAATTGCCGAAAAAAGGTACATCAATTAAATAGATCATGGAGGCGCCTAAGAGCGCCGCTCACTAATTATTGTAATAGAACTTAATTCATTTAAACACTATGATTGATAGTTTGATTTGCGACTTAGATAATTTCTCTGTATCTGAGTCAAAGTCCTGTGAAGTTGAAATCAAATGAAGCAATCCACTAACCATACTAACACAAAACATACGCAGCATCTATAAGAATTTTGACAATTTCAGTACTTTCCTGCAAAGATTAAACGTTAACTGTGATGTCATAATTCTGACAGAGTGCTGGTTAGATAAATATACAAATTTACCACTCATGCCAGCTAGCCAGCTCTAAGGAAAATTACAACCAAAATGACGGTATAGTGGTTTATGCCAGAAATAATTTAAATATCTCAGTAGAAAACCAAATATTATTAGACTGCAATCGGCTCCTAATCAAAATTGGATCAGACATAGCAATATTAGCTTTGTACAGACCCCCCCTTTTTTAGAAATACTAAAATTTTTACTGACTCACTTAACGGTGCGTTCAACTTTTATCATCTTTTGAAAAGTGTAATGTAGGTATATGTAAAATCGTTTGTGCAAGCCAGTCGGAATAAAACCTCTAAGCTGTGAACTCGTATTTGATTTCTTCCTGACTATCCTGTTAAGGGGCTTCCTGAAGCAAGGATATCACAGTGGCGACGAGATAGATAATTATTTACGCGTGTGATAAAGTGAATTATACAATGTCATCTTACGTGGATCGTCTCGAGATGTACTTTAAGGTCAATACGGTCAAGGAGGAGACGAAGCTACCCATATTAATAGCGTCCATGGGCGATGAGGCGTATGAACTGTTGGTAAATCTAGCTAGCTCAAAGAAACCGTCCGAATTAACGTTCGAAACAGTCGACAAAATATTACGCAATAATTTACAACCCACACCATCGCCGCTAGCGGAGCGATACCGGTTTAGACAAAGGAGACAGTTAACAGGCGAAAATATTGCAAGTTATGTGACTGAACTAAAAACGTTATCTAGAAATTGCAAATTTGGCGACAAATTGAACGAGAATTTGAGAGATCAATTTGCATGCGGACTAAGTAGTGACAAGACAACGGTTGTTCGCGGAAAGTGATGAGGTTAGTTTTATGAAAGCAGTATCCATTTCAAGTTCATTAGAGGCGGTGGAGAGGGACTCAGCGGCAGTCGAGGGATCAGGAGCTGTCGCGAGTGGTGGCGAGTCGGGCGCAGTTCATGCGCTCGCGCCGGCACGAGTGGAGCGTGACGTGAAATGGCGGCGGGGCAGTGGCGGCGGCGGCCCTAACAGTGTAATAGCGGATTATCGCTCGGTGCACGGACGCACTAGCGGGGATTACGCATGTGGAGCTTGTGGCGCACGTAATCATAGTGTGGCTAATTGTCGTTATCGCGAGTTCGTATACAGCAAGTGCCAACAAACAGGGCACTTACGGCGAGTGTGCCCGGGGTGGCGCGCACTGCCGGGGGCCCAGCCAGAGCGGAGAGGTCGGGAGCAGCGTCGCGGAGGGGTGTAAGCAAGACAAAGGCGCTTCCACTTTGGTGACGTCGGCTGCGAATCGGGCGAGGAGGATGACGGCAGTTTCGTGGAGGAACTCCACCACATATGCTTGAACAATTACAAGGCAGTAAGTGTGCCAATCTACATAGAAGATAAAATTATTAAAATGGTAATAGATACAGGTACGGCCATTTCTTGTGTGAGCAAAACAATGTATGAAAGTTATTTTCAGCATTTACAGTTACAAAGGAACACTATTGTTTTAAAATTTTATAATGGATCTAAAATTAAGCCGTTAGGCATTATTAGGCCAACGGTTCATTACGGGGAGCATGAAAAGATTTTAGAATTGTTCGTAATAGAAGGGGTACGACATCCTTATTAGGTAGACAATGGTTAACCGAGTTACAGATAAAAATACCACAGTTTAGTGTTAATTTTATTAATAACCAATCAATAGATAAAGAAATTTGTAAAATGCTCAACAGGTATGATGAACTGTTCAGCGGCGGGCTGGGCCGGTACTTGGGCGGTAAAGCGACACTGCGGATACGCGAAGGCGCTGAGCCAGTGTTCCATCGCGCGAGGCCGCTGCCGTACGCGCTGCGGGAGTGCGTTGACGCGGAGCTGGACGGCATGCTGCACGCCGGCGTCATCGAGCCCGTCGACTGCTCCGACCGGGCCTCGTCGACTGGGCCTCGCCCCTCGTCCCCATCAACAAGCCAGATGGTACGCTTAGGATTTGCGCGGACTACAAGGCGACTGTGAACCCTGTCTTACAAATCGATCGTTACCCATTACCGAAGATAGAGGATGTATTAGTGGGGTTAAATGGCAACCGGTATTTTAGTAAGCTCGATTTATCCCAGGTTTATATTTATTCAAATTCAAAAATTCAAATTCAAAAAAGTACACAGTTATTAACACGCATCGTGGCCTTTTCCGCTATAATAGGTTAGTTTACGGTCTTGCTTCAAGCGTAGGTATTTTCCAACGTATTATGACTAACTTATTAAGCAATATTCCCAATAGGTACGCAATTATTTTTAGACGATGTTATTATAGGAGGGAAAACTAAGGAGGAGCATTTGCAAGCTTTAGAAGCTGTTTTGAAACGGTTGCTAGAAAACGGTTTAAAGTTAAAAAAGAATAAATGTGTTTTTCTCGCTGAAGAAGTCGCATACCTAGGTTACGTAGTATCGAGAAAAGGTATCAAAGCGGACCAGTCGAAAATAGAAGCAATTTCAAAGATTCCGCGACCTCAGAATATCAGTGAATTCGTTTGTGGGCATGGTCAATTTCTTCGCTAAATTTATTAAAAATTTTAGCTCAATGTTAGTGCGCCTGTATAGATTACTGCGCAAAGGAGTAGAGTGGTTCTAGAGTAAATAGTGCCAACTAACATTTAACAAAGTAAAACGTCAGCTGACTGACACCGACGTATTGGCACATTACTATCCAAACAAACCCTTGATAGTGACATGCGACGCGAGCGCACGGGGGGTCGGCGGGGTGCTAGCGCAGCCGGACGCGCGCGGGGAGCGGCCCGTCGCTTATGCATCGCGAACTCTGAGCGACGCTGAGCGAAATTACTCTCAGATTCATCGCGAGGCTCTCGCTATTATTTTTGTATGAAAAAATTTCATCAGTATGTATATGGCCGCAAATTTGTCTTAAGAACAGACCATAAGCCGTTGGTTTCTATTTTTGGACCGGTATTCCTACGATGACAGCTAGTCGTATGCAACACTGGGCAGTAATTTTATCAGCCTATAACTACGATATTGAATACGTTAAAACCAACGAAAATTGTGCTGATAGGTTATCTAGGTGTACCAATGAAGTAGTAGGTACCAATGAAGTCTGAAACGGTGGCCAGGGACTCTATACCAGAACAGACATTTTTACATTTTGCGCAAGATGCTCTTTTATTAAACTACAATGACATTAAGAGCCAAACATCAAAAGATCGGTTATTGAGTAGGGTTCTAAGCTACATACGTGACGGTTGGCCTACATAATGCGAAATTTCAGGGCTACAACCGTACTTTAATAGAAAGTTAGAACTGTATGAGGAATTAGGTTGCATAATGTGGGGACACAGGGTGGTGATTCCGGAAAGCTGTAGGGCTAAGGTGTTGGAAGTGATCCATGAACCTCACATTGATATCGTGAAGTCGAAAGCGATAGCGCGCAGCTACGTGTGGTGGGCCGGTATCGACGAGGCAGTGGAGACAACGTGCCGCGCGTGCGCCATATGCGCGGCGCACGCCGACCAGCCTGCAGAACACACGCCGCGTGTTTGGCCGTGGCCAGTGCGAACGTGGTCTAGGGTACACCTAGACTTTTTAGGGCCCATCGGCGGTAAGACGTACCTAGTAGTGGTAGACGCTACTTCGAAGTGGTTAGAAATTTTTAACGTTCCAAGTACGGCTGCCGGGTCCACTATTAACAAATTAAGTGAACTATGGGGCAGAATGGGTTTGCCTAAGCTTGTTGTCACGGATAATGGGCCACCGTTCACTAGTTTAGAATTTCAAATATTCTTAAAGGAAGACGGGATTGAACATGTGTTTACGGCCCCCTATCACCTTTCGTCTAACGGGGCGGCTGAAAATGCGGTTAAGACGTTGAAAAAGGTAATAAAGAAAGCAACATCAGAAGGTGAAAGCGTAAATAGGTCCTTAGACACGTTTTTACTTTATTACCGCAATACCGAACATTCATCTACCGGAGAGAGTCCCGCTATGTTGCTATTAGGCATCTACGCACGCGCCTGGATGCTTTGAAACCAGACAGGGAGGCGAAAGTACGACAGGCCCAGCGGCGCCAGACCGAGGCGGTAGGAGGCGCAGAGAGGAGTTTGGAGGTCGGGGAGGACGTATGGTATCGTCAGTATCTAAAAGGGGAAAAGTGGTCACCGGGTACGGTTACAGGTACGTTAGGACGAACTTTTTTTTTATTTTTTTTTATTGTGACTCGGCAAAATGACTGCACCGCGCCTGATGGAAAGTGCGAATATAGTCCAGAGATGAGAGTAACGGGTAACTAATTTTAAGGTGCTGGACGAGAGTGGAAAACAAATTCACAGGCACATTGATCAATTGAGGAATAGGTCACGAAATTCACTAATACATCCGCGGGAATCGGAGGAACAGCCTCCCGGTAGGATAGAGGAGGTTTCAGAGTCGAGGGTTTCAAAAACTGGTGTGTTGAATGGGAGCCCGTCGGAGAGCCCGAAGGTTTCGGTGTCGCCGGCGGCAGTGGCCAGAGGCGAAATTCCGAAACTTTCGAGTCACCGCGATCTGATGACTCACCGACACAGTCGCCCGATCATGTACCGCCCCTAGCTCGCCCGGTCCGCAAGTGTCGTTTAAATGCGGAAATTAGATATAAGTTTCGATTATTAAAGATTAATACTATAATGTATTAATAATATCATATTCTAAGTGTTACCTTGTTACTAAGAATTTATCATAGAAATTTTGTATTTATAAGTTATAAATATTATAGTATTAACAAAGCGCAGAGGAGTGTAATGTAGGTATATGTAAAATCGTTTGTGCAAGCCAGTCGGAATAAAACCTCTAAGCTGTGAACCCGTATTTGATTTCTTCCTGACTATCCTGTTAATGGGCTTCCTGAAGCAAGGATATCACAAAAATGTAGTATTAATAGGAGACATAAACATCAACATTCTCCCAGGTAGCATAGATTCCTGTGCGCAAGAATACCTAAACTTATGCTCGTTTCACGGCTTACTTCCTGCGCACACTCTCCCCATTCATCAAAGCAGCTCTTGCTTAGACCATATTAAGCTTAAATCCATTTTTAAATCAACAGCAATAGTTACTAACTCGACTATAACTGATCATAGAGCTACCCTACTAACCTTTAATCGTAAATTGCTTAATTCAACTCGAACGCAAATAATTTCTAAAATCAATATAAATAAACTTGAAGAAGATTTAAGCATCATTGACTTTAACCCAGCTTATAATTCTGATGACGCGGATTTCTGTATGTCCTATTTAGTAAAAATCAGCAATCAATATTAAGTAACACTAAGGTCATGCGATTAAATAAAAAAATTACAATATCAAGGCTTGGATTACACCGGGACTTATTCGCTGTATGCGACATAGAGATAAACTACATATGAAGGTTAAATGTAATCCAGCTAATTTAATATTACAAGCATCGTATAAAAGATACAGGAACTTTTGTAACGACCTTCTTAAAAAAGTTAAAAATAGTTACGATAAAAATGAATTTGACAAAGCTGGTACAGACAGTAAAAAAGTGCTCCTGGTCATCATAATACATCAAACAAAATACTAAAACAATTGAGGCACTTCCTACTTTCACCGCTTACATTCATTTTGAAATTATCTCTAAGAAAAGGAATATTTCCTATGTGCTTAAAAAAGCTGTTGTTGTCCCGGTACATAAATCTGGTAACAAAGATGAATTAACGAAATATAGACCTGTTTCGTTAATGTCAACAATATGTAAAATATTAGAAAAAGTTATAAATAATAGACTTGTATTGTATTCGGGGAAACAATCCTTATTATATAAAACACAGTTTGGTTTTATATCCAAATTATCTATATCTGACGCTGTGCATCACGTTACGGATTTTTTAGCAAGGGAACTTGACAAGGGTAATAAAACAGTGGGGATAATTCTTGACCTCGCAAAAGCTTTTGATACAGTTTATATACCCATCCTATATTGCAGAAGCTTGAATTCCTAGGTATAAGAAGTATACTGCTAAAATTACTTGCAAATAATCTGGAGAAACGCTACCAATGTGTCAAAATAGGTAACGTTTTCAGTTCTGATCTCAAAAAAACTGCATTTGGAATTCCCCAAGGAAGTATTTTAGGCCCCCCCTCCGTTTCTGATCTACATTAATGACTTTTGTAATCTAGAATTAGAAGGCGGGGAGTTCATAACCTATGCTGATGATACTGCTTTACTTTTTTCTGCTAACTCTGATAAGGAAGTCTATGAGTTTGCTCAGCGAGGATTCAATGTCGTAAATAACTGGATCGAGCAACATTTACTAACACTAAACACGAGTAAAACTAATTTCATGCAGTTCAAAGTCTGCTATAACTAGGACAATACTATACTCTCACCATTGTAAGGAGACTACTAACAACCTGTGTAAGTGTCCAGGCATTGCTATTACTAACAAGGTAAAGTATTTAGGTGTTATAATAGATGACAACTTCTCTTTTAAGCACCATATCGAAGCATTATCCACTCGAATCCGCAAGATAATGTATGAGTTTAAAAAACTACGCGCTTTTGCTGATTTTAAAATAATCAGGCAAGTTTATTATGCCATATGTCAATCAATTATTACATATTGCATTTCATTTTGCGTGGTATTGTTAAAACGTCATTACAAATACATTAAGAGAGTCCAGCGAGCGATTCTGAAGGTTTCTACTTTCCGCCCTTTCCTTTACCCCACTGATCTTCTGTATAAGTTGTGTAAGGTACTAACTGTAAGGCAATTATTTATTAAGTCCACAGTTCTCAAACAGCATGTTGCACTCCTATATAGTACTGGAAACACTAACAAAAGACGGAAAGATGTTGTCTGCCCCAAAATTGCATCATCAAAATTGTGTTTATTTCCAGATTTTGTGTTTCTTGGGCCATTTTTGTATAATAAATTAAATTAAATTAAATTGGTCATATATCATTTTTGTTACATAAAGGTTAAGCAAATTCTACAAGAATTCCTTCAAAACATGTCCTACGATGATTGTATGGTTTCACACATTCTTCGACATAACTCTGCGCACGTGGCGATCTGCTTTAGCCACGTCCCGCACGTTTATTTAAACACAAACAACAACAAACAACAAAACAATTCACACTCTCTTTTTTCATTCTGTTTTAACGTAGTACGTTACCTACCGTCCACCTATACAGGACATCAAAGAAAGATTTGTATCTGTATTTCTACGTACAATATACTTTTACCATTGTCTTTGCAAGGCTTTATCTGCGTATTACCACTACAATTCATGTATGAAGTAAGGTGGCCCATACAATGATACAGAGAATTTATTAATTATGCCAAAATAAATGTTGCCTAATTTAAGCGTATATGTATATGATTTGCATTTCATTGTTTAGTTATTATTTATTTGTTTATAATTTAATCATATATTTACCCATATAATTAGTACATTTTACCTGAAATACAGAATTCTCCTAGTTCAGGTATATGTGTTATATTTTACGTTGATACGCATAATTAGTCTTTAGTTATTCCTTTGTACAATAAGTAATTTAATAAACAATTTCTTATTTATTTCGCTAACGATGAAGGAAAACACCGTGGTGAAACCAGCACGTAGAAATACAGACCTTGGAAAACCGCGTGATGTCCCGAACTCGCTACAGGCCGTTATGGCGGATTGTAGCTTATACGTTCTCCATATAGGAGACCCGTGCAAAACAGTGGCACGTATAAAAGTTGACAATGATACCAAAATTTATTTTATTTATTTATTTTAACTTTTTTCCCAATACCTTAAAGTACAAATGGCGGACTTAATGCTAGGAGGCATTCTCTACCAGTCAACCATTGAACCAAAAATAAAAAAAACAATAGGTTGATGCTACACTTTACAAGAATAACAGAATAGCATAAGCCAATACTTGATAGGTAATTTATATGGCTTAAAATAATATAACATAACATAATTATGCTTAATATACATACATAATAATCGTACTCGTGTATTTATTATAATAGTACATAAAAAATGTGTACCTACGGCAACATTATGTAGTCTTGTTCTTGAATATTATCATAAAGATGCTTGCGCAATATGCACTTGGAAGATAGTATAGGCAAAAAATTAGACAAAACACCAGTACCTACTTACGGTGAGAAGGAAAAGAGGGCTTGGGAAAATCGAAGTTCGCATCCCGGCCGAGCGGTTTGAAATTGAAATGAACATCTAAGGTAATCAGGTCCAGCCATATCGATAGTTCGAATGGAGAAAAGGATGCTTAAAATTCTTAAGGACCTGTGTTCACGGATGGGAAGCCAATTGAGGTAACGATCAAATGCAGAGATGAGAGAGTGAGAGAAAGAGAGAGTTATATCTTCTGTCGCAGACCTAAAGATGAACCTAATCAGTTGTTAAGAAGACGAAGAGACTTGAGACATGTTATTGTAACTCGAAACAGCATAATTAATCCGTAAAATTATTATTGCAATTAATGTGTTTACTAATTAGACAGAAATTAGATCGAATGCAGAAGGAAGTAGGCAGTATTCATGCTCGTTAAATTAAAAGACATCTGTTGTTATAAGCATCGCTTTATTTCCATGTACATACACATTTATTTGGCAGTTCCATTTTGTAGCAATTAATTACAAAAATGTACTCTATATGTCTACAAGATCGGTAGTGTCTAATAATCTAACATTTACAGCAACGGTGAAATTATAAAGAATCACGACGTAATAACTCTTGGATTATACACTAAAATGCATCCATCACAGAAATAAATTAAATTGAACTAATGATAAAATTATACAATAATGTACCTACAAAAGCTTGAACGTATGTAAAATTTAAACACGGCAATCAATATATTGTCCATATTTCTAAACGTAGTTAACCTCCTTAAACAATTCAAAAATTGTCCTGTCTCGTTTAAACTAGTGGGACTAGACAGAAGATAAATTCAATCCGTCAACAACGGGCTTCTTCTTCTTCTTAGCGTGTCGACTCATGTCGTTTATATTTGTGAGAATCAGAAGTTAGGGACGGACACAACATTTTCAGTGGCCATATACACGTCCTCGCGTGTGCAAGTGTAGGGACACGCAAGGCAGGACAAAAGATGTGCCATTGTCTGCGGAGAGATAGCACACAGACATGCGCTCTCCGAGTCATAACCCCACCCGTGTATGCTCTCCTTGCTTCGGCTGACTAGGGTTCGCAAGCTATTTAGAGACTTCCAAGTTTGCGAAGATAGATTATGCCCAGGAAGGAGGTGCTTGAACGGCGGAATGAATGTTGTTGTGGAATATCTCTCCTTCTAGAGACTTATTCGGGCTTGGTTAGTTTCCCTGTCCAGAGGGTATACTGCTTTAATGAAGCTGTGGGTGATTCTTTATCCTACGGGTTACCGGCACCTGATTTTGGAGGGGTGACTCAAAGACGAAAAATATTCTTCTAACAACTAGCAATTACGATGTGATGCTTTCTGCAAATGTGGGCGGCATTGACAATGTGCGGTCGAAGTAACATCCCATTGAAGCGATTTTTTAGTTTTCACCGCAGAAGATGTTGGCAACATTGACTCAACCATCAGCGCTACTAAATAATAAAAATGTGATTGTGAAGTGCTTATGGTGCGAGTGGTCGGCGCGCGTGGTCAAAAGTGTGAGGTATTTCGCAAAATGCGGCAAGTGCAATACATACACACACACATAAGTGCGCTCGCCTTAAAATAGTCTCAATGTTGACTTTTCACATTGCTCGTGTTGCCAGAATAACAATTTTTTTAAAAGTTCTCCAAAATTCCACACGGAAATGTAACTTGTCAGCATTTAGTTCAAGTCTAGCAATATGAACAATATTGACATCTAAATTTAATAATTAAAAAAAATCACAGGCCTATAACCAGAAGTATATTTTTAGTATCTAAATAGATTTTATTTTACAAAATCGATGTCGTAGAAAATTCGAGTTAGTATTTGCAGACATGCTCGTATTTAAGAATGGAAAATAAACTAGAAGTACACAGATGTAATAAACCTGCTGTATTTATAAAACAAAATATACAATATATAGAAATTAGGATATATTGGTCATCTTGTTTAAGACGGAAAACACTCCTCACTGCCTGTAGCGAAGAAACATATACCTTCGGATGGCGATGGCGCAACGAACGATTTCTTCGTCGTTTCACTTTTGATACAGCGAACGTGGTTGTCAGCTGCTGTCATGACGAGATGATGATGAGACTAAATTCTGGTGCACTGATTTAAGGTTCTACCCCTAGGACGTTTTAATTGATCAGAATAGGCCGACTGTTACTGTGTTTTTAGAGGTACTTCTGCAAGTAAATACTATGATCAAAACAACAAGTTCCTTTGAAAACCTGAGCCAAATAAAATACTGAGGTGTACTTTAGGTGAGCGCAAGTTACAGCACACGTTACTTTGCCGCTATCCGCTGCAGCCAACGATAAGTATGTTCTCCGTCCTAAAAGCTCATATGTACATGAGTGGCCTCGATAAACAATTTTAATTATTTGTATTATCTTGTGTTTTGAAATATTTTTATGATCATTTCTAAACAAATTACTTACAAGAAGCCAATGATTATTGTCCATTCAGCGCAAAGAAATGAACATAAATATGAAAAGTAATAACCAAATTATACAACATACTAAACAAACCAAATTCATCATCACGAAAGTGACCGACATATTACAGTCGCTGAGAATAAAATAATTGTTGAAACTAAAAGTAAGCTTGAACTGCGGCACTCGGCTGAACTGTCTTCCGGTTCAAAACCTGTAATATCAAAATCATATTATAAAATACGTCGATTTCTCTTGGTAAAAACGTTAAAGATTCGTGTCCAAAATATTGTACCTATACTTAAAAATATGTTTTGTTTTACATAACAGCAACAAGATTTTAAAATCATATATTTTCCTAAGCATCTTATCATAGTGTGTGTGTAGATGGTCATACCAGACATGGCTACAAAGTGAAGTTATTTATATATAATTACAAAGAAAAATTAAAATGGAGTAAAATTGTAGAGAACACATTTTACAATTCTCTGACTAAAGTTAATGCGGGAAATCTACAAAATTAATAAAATTACTTAATTTCTAAATTTAGAAAGCGAGTTTAGCGAGGTCGCAAATTTTACAAAATTTACGAAAACTCGCACTTGGTAGTTACTTTCTTTAATATTCATGTATTTCTAACTCTCAATTATTTCAATTACAGAGGTCATGGGTTCGCTGTCTCTGTGTCTATAAGACCAGGTATATCCATTTATTTCTAATATTTTCAATATATTCCCTTGACTGTAGTCACTGCGAAAAGTTCTGAGGCTAAGAGATAAAATATTAATAACAGAAATACATTCAAAGTAACACTCTACAGGTCTTAGCAATTACCGTAATTCATTTGTTCGCCGTACACTTCTCCTTGGAAATTGGAGCTGATCGCCTCATTGGTTTGAACGACTTGGAACAGCCCTGTGGAAAGCAATCGTAATTTATAATACAAGTAACAGGAATCAATCAATCGATGAATGTGGTCGAAAAAATGCAATTTCGTTGTACCACAAGGTACTATTATAGGTAGTTTTGTAAAAAAACCCGAGTCCGGGAGTCTACATTTTAGGACTCGACTCCAATTCACAAGACACGACTTATATAGACAGACTATACTGCTCGATGTATGACGAGCCCATTGAGTTTCCGAATAGACTCGAGTTTGACATTAGTGCTCGAGTCTATTTATATAACGAGTAGCGCTCCAGTTCGAGTCTGTCTAAGTAACTAGTCGAGCTCGAGTCTGGTACGCGGTGTTGTGGTGCGGTGTGTTAAACTGTAATATAAAAATGTATTAATAAGTACCCTCTTTTTTTAAATCAACATATTAAGTTTTTCTTATTTAGTTAATTTTGGGCAATAGAAGTTGTTCAGTAAAATTGAACCCTGTTTGTCTTACTCGAGACTTTGTAGAGTAGAAGTCTTTTCGGGTCGAGTGTTTGAATTCGAGTTAGGTATACGACTCGAGTCCGCGCTTCGATGACTCTCACTGGACTCGACTCAGGCTCGCGAGTGTTTTAGGCTACCGAGCCGTGCAAAATTGAGTCGAGTTTATAAATGTAGACCCTCGGACTCGAGTTTTTACAACATTACTTTTAGGTCCTTATTTATATTAATGGTTTTTACGTGATGGTGTTCCTACACAATGACGATATTACATACTGAATTACCAAACTCAATTCCAGAAAATATTATTTCATTATATATTGGTTTTACTTAAGCGTAAGTGAGTGTTTGATATTTTTAGCGTGTTTCTAAACATTACGGCAGAATAAAGCGAGGGCAATGTTCTTCATCGTCCTCTATAGCTGAGTCAATTACCCATGTTTGTCTATTAGTCAAATATACTTTACTAGAACATGTATATTTTGGTTTAACGTTAACAAATCCGTCTTATTAATTATATTTTGAATTCTTCGTGCGTCAAGATATTATGTTTACGTAAATTGAGACTAAATAAATTACGAAAATCATAGAATATTACAAATGTTCTTGGTCCAAAAATCTTACCTTTTTTACGAGCTGTGTGATTGTCTAAATTGGGTTTGTGAGTAGTAGTAAACGCTGATGGCGGTGCTGGTATTTCTATAAAAATGTAAGCAAAATTATTTCATAATTATCGAGCAAGTGATCACTCTGATACTAATTGAAAAAAATATCTTACAAAACAATGTAAGATTATTAGATCTGAATTTTGTAGAGTAATCTTGTTCAAGTGTTAAAAATAATAGCTCATAATTGAAGCTACAAATTATGGACATCCAATATAATTATCACTAAATTCGTGACATAAAAACGGGGACAAAATATCATAATAATAGAAGAATTACCATCCAATTTGATGATGCCATCGGTTTCCCCGAGGGAGTTCTTGGCGACGCATTTATAGTGACCGAAGTCTTCTTTGGTAATATTTCGAATCTTGAGCATCATGAACTTGTTATATCCGCTGTCCATAGGGTAGGCTTCGTACTTCCCACCTACAATTTCCATTTCTACTTAAATATAAAACCCGTACATTCATGAATTTTTAATAAAACTTTACAAGCATGTCATAATTACGTTACTTTTTTTTCAATTAGGATACATTAAACATTGCTATATTAAGGCTTCATTGAATGAAGTGCCCGAGCTGGCTGGCAGCACTCCGCCTTTGGGCAAATTAACTAAACTAATCATAATCGTATGCAAAAGCCCACACAAATGTACAAAGTACCTAATCTATTATTTCATAAACAAGTTTTCTTTGCATGAAATAAATCAGACATCGTACAAAACAGTATATTGATAATACACTGTTTACAATTACAAAGTAACAATAATAAATAGCCTACAATATGTAACTCTGTTTTCCGCAAGTGCATACTCGTAAGTAGAAAATGCAACTTCTAGACTTCAGCAGTGCAACTAAAAGCTAATAATAACATTACACCTCAACGTTGTTAAGAATATCTTAGGCGAAATGGTATCGCGGTTGCGTGCGTAGGCTTTACGTATGAGGTAGACGCAAAGAACTTTAGTATTATATCAATTTATTATATTTAATAAATTGCATTTCATGAATAAAGTATACTCTTTTACTGTACACTAAGCACCTAGTCCTCTTACATTATTTTTTTACGCAAGACGGAAGAGCAAATTTCATTAGAACATCTCTAATAACAATCGAATGATTTTTGTGAAGACGAAAGTAGTAAAAAAAAGAGAAGTTTGCAGAACTTTGTGATATTTTTAACGAGTGAAGTTCAGTCAATCGTGTTTCGGGCCCCATACTTCACAACCGGTATCTCTTAAAGTGACAAACCGATTTTCCGAATGGCCGAAACACGTCCAAAAGTCCATATTAGGTCTCATTTCACTTTAAGGCGGAGTGTTTAAGGAGTTAATTGTAATAAATGAGTATTAGGTACCACATTTGTAACTCAAAGGCCCATCTACGAACTGAGTCTTTTATCAAAGCCGCTATCCATACAAAGTGCCTAGCAAAGAGGTATTAAATTTTAAAACTATTCACTATTTTCACCTGAGTAAATACACCACCGGGGTGCTATTCTCTATCCGCATTGTTCCAATACTAAAACTATTTTCATTATGAAGTCATAAATCATTGATACAATCGAACGATGCTATACTTGACAGGAGCACATGTTATTTATGCGAATATGATAAATGTGTTTGTGCTCAATATTCTAGTCGGTGCTCAATTTATAACGATACGACACATGAAGTTTGATTACAATCTGATCAAGTTTCAGATATTTTTGTTTTTTTTTTCTTTAAATAATTATTTACCTAGGCAAGCCAAGCAATGACTGTGGAGAGAAATAGTTAGGTCTATTTTATAGTGCATACTGAAAAATATACGTATTAATTATTTTCACTGAATTTATACTTACGTGTTTTTATTTCTCAATATTAGGTACGTAACTCATGGAGAGTAATTTCTATATGATTGAAAGAAATATTAAAAAGTCTACAAAAAAAATAATTAAGAAGACTTACTTACACCTAAATAGCAACTAAAAATATTACCACAAAAAATATTATCTAAACTAATTTCTTTTAGTACCAGATTGACATAGTAAGGTAAGATGGAATGGGACCCTAATGGAAGGTCGTCCTAAATCTAGGTAACGAAAAGTGGGTCGCGGTCGTGGTGAGTCGACGACATTGTTAGATTGTCGCAAGGACCTGGATCAGATTTATACAGTGTTGGCGCAAGTGACTGCATTTATACTAGAGATTGAATTTGTAACATGTACTGAGCAACGATCGTAATTTTGATATATTTTATTTAGTATATTGTGTACATTCTGTTTAATTCTCAATCTAAACTAAAAACCAGATCTTAATAAGCATATTGTTTACCCTCTCTATTAGGCCATACGGGACAGCGGTATTACTTATATATAGACAATATTTTGATCCCTTTTGTTGAATTACAATATTGTCATAATAATACCGGTCTTTGACGTGGTGCATGTTATTAGAAAGGTTTTTTTTTGACAAAAAGTATACAACTGCTAAACAATCGTATCTATTGTACAATGTAAGTAACAAATAGGAGCTAAGGTTCTCACCGGAAATAATCATATCTCCACGGTCAGTGGTCCAATAGTTGATGGAAGAGGGGTACGCCTCAGTGTGGCATTCCAGCGTCACATCTTGTCCAATGTATGCGCCCTCCAGTTGGTTTGGAATCGACAGCATCGGCGGGACTACCGTAAAAATTTGATTACGCATTACTCTTAAAAAACTAATTGTTCTACTGTAATAAGCACTAGAATTTCCCGTACGAAAGGTATTACAATGGCATTGAACATAATTTTATTATAGCATAATAAGACAATTATGGCAACGTGAAATGCGCAAAATACTGGTGACTTGTCAACTTATGACGGGTGCAGTTTCAATGCCCTTAAGATCTTTGCGATTTAAAGATCTAAGGGGCACTCGAACTGTTATGAATAGGTGTGTCGCGTACCATCAGGCGCACGACTTGTTCGTCTCGTCATTGGTATTATTAAAAAAAAACGCGAGTGTATCAAGAGATTATGCGGATGTGTGCGTCCATTCACGACACGCGGCGAGCACGCACACATCTAAGCCCTGCTGCTACGTTTGCATCATAGTAGAATAAGAACTTCTTATTCTACTATGATACAAGCGTAGCTTTTAGTTATTTTACTTTCGTTCTTGTTTTACTATGTTTTTGTTTGTATGAAGTTTCCAAATTTGTCTTATTATGCTATGGTTTTGCGTTGCAATAAAATTCTCACTATTTTTTATATGTAAAAGAAAGTTGGTTTGATAAACAAATCGACAATTTATAAAAGAAACTTACACTGCACCATTAGACTGATTCGCTTGCTGATTGAAGGTGGTACTCCATTGGATGCGATGCAAAGGTACGCCCCCATATGAAGCCGAGACACTTTATTTATCGTCAATGTCTCCCCATCTACCACACTAACTGTTGAAAATTGTAAAAATGATTCAATTACTCCTATACAGAGCTATTTGTAAAATATTAACAATCTCAAAGGACCACATTACTGACAGCATAAACTACAGCTCCCGTTTCATAAATTTTTACAAAACGTGTTAAATTTACCAAAGACAAACTTTTAAGTTTTTCAACAAAAAGTGTCAGATACCACAATTGCTATACCACTTTTTAGATCTGCATTTGGTAGTAAGTTGTTTAGCAACGCCTCACGCGTGCCTTCTATTGCTACCGTACAGAATTACTATCGTTTAGAGCGATTTTTTTAAATATTTGCGTTTTTGTACGGAAGTAAAATCTGATAAATAATAAAAACCATGAATCAAAATTTGTTGTTTATGATGTTAATAATAAAGACCTGTGAGGTTGTTAGTATTTTACAAATAATCCTATATATTATTAAAAAATTCTTTGAACTATCTATCTGTCTACGTTGGAATATCATAAGGTATAGTTTTCATCAAAAGTAGCTGCGATATTGCATCGGTGTGCTTAAGAGGTACCGGGACTGCCTCGTTCGAGACTACGGTATTTGTACGTGGTTGCTAGGTTATCAGAGATTACATTTTGAAATACCTATCTACAATCTACTCAATTGGGTAAGTGTGATATTTACTGTTCCCATTTTGTTGTTTAAAAATATTTGAATTTACCACTTTTACAGTTTTGAGGCATTAGGAGACGTCTCCACAGCTTTCATAACAATAGGTAATAAATGAGCGAGCACACGAACTATAACGTACAGGCGGACGGATGAATAACAGTAAGGTTGCTAACAGATTGACTGCTGTTTGCAATTAATGCGTGAAGTTGTAATCAACTTCATGCAGCCGCAACCACAACTGCATGAGGTTGATAATGACTACACGCATTAACTGCATGCAGTCGACATACACGCAATCTACATTAAGTTGGTTTCGACTGCAGTCAATGCGTGAAATCGTTGCATGAAGTTGATAACGACTGCGAATGCGTGTAGTCATTGCGGAGACTTGTCCCGTAAAAGGGCATGAGATTACTTTAATAATTTTTAACTATATATGTTTTAATTTCAATCGATACGTTTTATTTACACGCGACGTGCAAACACGTTAATTAAGAACGCGTAGAAGTACACACACAATCGAATGAAAACATTAATGATATACTTCAAAACACAGTGGAAAAAGCCAAACGGATTGAAGATTATTATATAGTATGACTGTCTATTTTAAAATACCTAGGAGATAAAAAATTGGTAATAAAGAGAACTATTAAATCTCACCTGATTCCCCATTGTAATTAAAGTCTTGACCATCCTCCCTCCTCCACATAACATAAGGCTCAGGATAGCCTGAAGCTCGACATACCAAGGTCACGTCGGAACCTTCACGCACCACCATGTCAGTCGACGTCATGTTGTCGATGATTGATGGAGGCACTGCGTAAACAAAACACGAGCACGTAAGGGCCCGTAGGTAAATGTACCTAAAAGAACTTTAATGAATATTGTACAATGTTCCCCAGTTGCTAACTGACAACAGGAAAAAAAGGTCTTGGAATTGGATTTATTGTACCTTTCTCAAATTTGCTTGTTATTTATGCTTCGTTAAATAATTACATATACTTGGAATACACTCTAACGTACAAATAAAATTTTGTAAAAATATACGTTTGAAAATAACGAAACTATGACTATGGGTGTCATGTAGAAATAAGTACAAAAATGACTTAATTACTATATTATTCACAAAGATGACTGACCTACAACTTGAAGATATCCCTTTCTGGAACGCATAGGGTCGGTATTGACTTGGCACATGTACCAACCGCGATCCACTTCCTGCACGTTCTTGATGTGCAAGTACCACGATCGGTGATCGTTGTACGACAAACTTATGCGCGGATTCTGCGTTATGATATTGTGGTGTATGCTCAGAATAGTTTGTGTATCCATCCGTACCCAAGCTACCTAAAATCAAATAACATTAGTGTGATATTCTCAGTAACAGCATTAAAAGCAAAAGTAGGTAAAGAAGTAAGATACCTTGAAACCTCGTAAATTGTCAACAACGCAGGCCAATAAAGCGTCTCTGCCGACAGTGACAGTGACATTTGGTATTGGTTCTGCAAATCTCGGGTACATTGTCTCTGTAAAAAGAAAATCTGTTGTAATCTCCTACAGAGATTTGTAAACATGTTTACTTGTAGTAGAAGTTTGAATAAAATCGATAGAGAGCGCACCCGGTGGCGGGGAGGAGATTCACAAACATGACGCCAAGGGTGCCGACGCGTCTCGCTTCTCTTGGTTTATTCCTATTAAACTAATCGAATCGTAACTTTTTTTCATGAGGTTTGTTCCCCGAATGTTCTGCAATGTTAATGCGATTGTTTGAGAGCTTTCCGTTTTCCAATGCGAAAATGAATATACGTGGTATAATATAAGTGCTTATTATTTCTGACTTTCAGGACTGCCATGTTATATGCTTTTTAAGCTCTATTAATTTATATGTTAAGGTTTAATGTTCTTTTGAAAAATAATCAATCCGTTCTCTATTACCTATAATACCAATAACAAATTCTAATACATAATATGTTTTTTATTTTTTAGATGACTCCTCAAAAGTCTCCCTAAAAGAACCCTTTTTAAATGACTAAACTTTTCAGTCGTTAATAAAAAGGTAAAATATGTAATTGATTATGGCACATTTTGTGATGTAACGCTGTGTATAATAATATTTTTTAACAAAGTTAACACTAAAGTCAAATTCCTCACAAAGGATGAGTGCGAGTAGGTACAAGGGTTTCGTGATTTAGTAGAGGCCGAGTAACGACAAATAGCGGTTTGTCGCTGTATCACTCACCGGCAAAATAATGTATCCAACGCCCGATACTAAAACACCACACTTAATCTTACGCGTCTTTAAAAAGTTAGCAGCAAGAAGGGTTGGATTTCAAGAATAATGTGTGATGCATATCTAATTTCGTTATAGAACTTGGTATTTAATAGTGATTGCTATTATTTATGATACAGAAATTGATGCCGTTTATCTTATTATAGCTACTGGGTAAATAAATCGACCGGTGCATAGAGAGATTTATTTGTATGTACTCATATCGTACTACAGATTCTATTTACCAAAGATATATTTGTTATTATTTTGATGCACTGGCAGCTCAGTTTGTTTATAGGTGTTTAAATGGTAGAGCACTAATTACTGATTCCGGCGAGCCATTTCATTAGCCAACATCATTTCTTAGTGTGTAACTCTCACAGGTTACGGTTAAGGAGGCAGTTAAATATTGTGAGTGATAAATGTATACAAAATGTTTATTTACAAAGAGCAATCCCTATAGATTCTTACTCATTCTTCTTAGGGGAATCTGCTTTACGAATGAGTAGTAGAGTTTATTCAATGTGACAATTTCAAGTTCTTGGGGAGGCACTTGCCTAGTGGTTATGAATGGGAAAAGGGCGAAAGTATTAAAAGTCCTTCGGGACCTTTGGAACGCATATTGTAGCAATTTTTATGACAATAACTGAATAACAAAAAACATACAAATTCAAAAGAAATAGAAACTATAAAATATGTCAAAAAGTATGTACTCGTGCCATGGCTCGTGCACACAAATGTAACTTGCTTCCATATGAAATAAAGATTATTTGACTTTGTTAACGGTAGACAAGAGTGCAAGTTCCAATTAATGGCCGTCTTGGACCTCAAGTCTGCAAATGTAGAATCATGTCAGTTGTGTGTCGATAGAGTATGAATGGCAGGCATGTGGCAGTATTTTGTATGTTTGGTATTCTGCTAAAAGTTGAGAGTAGCGGATTGTTGGCTAGCCATCGATCTACTAATCAATATTATTTTGGTGTTCTGCTCTTAAATGGTGAGTCGATGGCACGACTGTGTAGACAGATAGACAGATAGAACACGTTTACATACTTTCCACATGCACACACAACAATAGGAAACAATAAGTAACGAAAAAAAGAAATAAAAAAACACAAAACAAAACAAACAAAGTAACAAAAAGGAAGGAAATCAAATAAATATATGTGGGCCATTTTCAAATTCTATGCAGGTGATTGTAACTTTAGCACTTAAAAATAAAAATATTATAAACTATTTCTACATAATTTTTTCATTTACCTTTGACCATAGTATACATCAAATTTTGAGATCCTGTTGTTGGTCGCGATGTTTTTTTAATAATTTTGAGTTGTTTTCTAGATTTAATGTCTCAAGGCGTAAATAAATAATACTCTGTTACCAATGCAAATATTTTTTTATTTTAATAAAGAACACATTAATCACAAATATTTTGGTATTATTGTTAATTACAGTGTTTAATCTCTCAAAAACACGCAAAATCAGAATTTGAAACTATTAATAATGTTTATTTAAATAGAGTCTTAAACAACTCTGTTACTTTATATTTATTAACAAATCTTAAAAGTTCACCTTAATTCTCAAAAAATCTTTTTTTTAACATCTTATAACGTTGTATTGAAAATTATGTGTCTTATAAACTGGCCTATAACACATTTTTAATATTTTAAGATCTAGTTTTACTAAAAAAAAATATTATAGACAATACATCTTTGGGACAGAAAACCAACGTAGTTGTAAATCAGTAACTTAGTTGTTTTTTTTGTATTACGGCTAGCTTAATAAACTTGTACTATACCTAACTTAATGTTTAAAATTCCAACATGAGACATCGCATAATTTAATATTATCATACTTAAACATTTCTAGTAACTAGTAACTAAATAAAAATAATTATGAGATCATTTTTAATTATAGTGAGATCAATATTATTTCTCAAATATTTCTAATGGAGTGTCAAACTGGTAGTATATTCTTTTGCCTTTGTATACTTTTTTGGGATCTGGGACGATTGCTAGTAAATTTTCAAAAGGCTCGTAAGATAAATCGGTCTCAACCAATCTAAATTTTTTTGCAGTATCGTCCATTGACCTGAAAAACATAATTTTTACCTCGCCATCATCTTCTACTTCGCTTAACACTTTTCCCAAATAAACGTAGTCTTGCTTCGAACTTGAAACTTTGACTAACCATGTTTTATTTTATTAATATGAATATTTTTCTTCTCTATCAAAGCATCATTATCGATTCTTTTTTTTTTATTTGACGCCTCTTTTTTATGTTTGCTTTTCCGTCGTTCTCTATAACGTCGCTGCTTTTCAGCAGGCGTAAGAGCCATCTTAGTACAAAAAGTCCTGAAACAAATTATTATTACCATTGTGTATAAAACTTGTGGGTAAAGACTGAAAAAATACAACTCTGTTACTCAGTTTACTACTTACTTTGTTACTCGAATTAGTAACATAATTGTTCAGTAACAGAGTGGTAAATTACATATTCCTTAAACAATTAATCGCAAAATAAGGCATAAAGTAAAATTATTGTTTCATATTAAAGATATTCGCACCTAATACTACTTAAACAATGTAAAATCAAATAGGAAATACTGAGTACTTACGCAGAAATATTGGTAACGGTGTGGTTCCTGAATAAAAACACGCGTCTTCTTTCACAAAACGCGGTCACCTGACCGGCGTTGCACTCTCCCTCCACCCCCGCGCACTTTATCGAACTATCTTAGACACCACGCCAAGTTGCTGTAGGTGGCAAAGTAGCGCCATCTGTATTTCTGGGACTAATTTGCTATAGTAACAGAGTGTTACTATGATAATGTGTTGAACGCGGGACAGAATTTAAAAAAATAGAAGGGAACATAATTTACTACAAACTTTTGTTTCTAAGCATTGAACATGTTATGACAATGTCTGTATTTAGTAATCATATTAATTTTAATTTATCAATGTAGGAGAAAAACAAGTTATTAACGTATGATTGTACTGTATTACTATCAAGGACACGATGACTTTGTATGGAAAACAACTCTGTTACCAAAAATAACCATAATGTTACTTTAAAAAAAGGGAAAAAAAATTAATTTATATAATTATTTTTCGTATAGCATGTGTTATTTACTAATAAATTTTTAACTTATTAACTTTAGTTCGAAGAATTTGTTTTATTTAAATAAATATATACATACATTCTTGAGGGACAAGATAACCTGCGACGAATTTGAAAATGGCCCATGTAATAAACAACTTACATCTACTAAATAATAAAAAACAAGTCGTGCGTGCTGCAGCAAGCCAAACAGGCCAATAGCTCAGTGCGGGTGTTGCCCAAAAGCAACGCGTCTACTAATATTATATATATTTAGGTAACCTATCACAAACTCGAATTTATTTTGTCCGAAATAACGTTCGTTCGAATTTTCATTACCCCGACAACCGAATTATAATGAAACCGTTGTTCTTTCAGGATATGTTGGATTTTTATTGCAAAGACACGATTAGGTTCGGTTAGGTTAGGTTAAGCTAAGTTTAAAAGAAAAAAAACATTTTCCTCTCAAAATTACTTTCGAGGTTACGAAAATTCGAGCAAACGTTATTTCTGGAAAAATGTCATTTCAGACTTCTGATAGGTAACTATTTAATTTGTAGTGTAATCTACTAATATTGTATATATTTCATTTGAAGACTAAATTGCTACTTAAACGAGATAATAATTAATATTGAAAATTGTAATTTCCATGGTAATTTTAGGTTGCCTTACCTCGATTGTAAGTGATTGAATGAATGAATGCCACCATTATCATTCCACTGATGCTCTATTGGGACTCAACTGCCATTGCAAGTAGATTTCAGAGAATATTATAATCTCAATAGTCCCAATGGAATTACAATAAACAGAGGTTTCAAGAAAATTAGGGCCCAGATGCTTGGTTGCATTACATTATTACTGAAGATCTTCTTCAGCCTCGGCTCGTCGTAATGCGCTTGTAAAATTATACTAAGGTGTATGTTTTCTGTCCTTATATTCCAGTGGCAAATACAATGAAATATGCATTCTATACCATTTGTTATAAACCAGACGGGGGTAGCCTACATCTAGGGGGGTAGAAAATTTACATTAGAACTTGCAACTTCTAATGTCAATTTTGTTTTTAAATAATTTAAGTATTTATGTGGAAATGGATCTTTAACTTAGCGAGGAAATAAAACCCGCAATTTACACGCAATAAGCATACTTGTACATATATCACGCGTGAAAACATTACTATTGGTTATATTTTACCCATTGGTGTATTAATTAGAATAACTTATTATTTATTAAACAATTATATTATTATTACGTTTGACCTGATTTCTACGAGTATATGTAGTGGCACACAATTGTCTACAATTTGTTAAATTAGTAGGTAGCAACAGTGGGAGTCGGCAGCTGTTGAGCGTGTAATGTAGTTATTCGTTAAAGTAACTTCCACTATAATTTTCTTTCGAATGCCAACATGCTCTATTTAATAAAAAGTAATGAAAGAATCGACTTGTCGCTTATAATCAGTTTCAAGGCCCGTTAATAAAATATTAGACTGAACATAGACGAAAAGTGTACAAAAGTGTACACTCCCAGACACACACACACACACACACACACACACACACACACACACACACACA